AAATCTTCATATCTTCTCATTAAATTGTTAACGTAGATTTATAACCTAAAAACACGTAGTGCGGATCACAAATGTAGGGCGAAAGAAAGCCCTCAGGAAACATTTTGTAAGGATAAATTACCTCAGGCATTGATTCAAGGATTGCGTGAAAGTTGATATTATCAAGAAGGGAGTGGTGACTGAGATGACGGATGATAGAGTTATTTGAAGGACGAAAACTCGGTCCGACCCTTCAGGAGTAGGATAGGATAGGAGATGATGATTAAACTTGTATAAAACTCTCCATTTCTAGGTTAAAAATCTATGTCCTCTGACTCTATGTGTTTATTTAAAACAGTAGCTACTCATTTGGTAACAGTATTAGAATACGACCCTACTAAATAATAATTATATTCGTTTAAATTTAAATGTATAAAGAAATATGCAAAAAAAGAACTTGAGAAATCATCTTATGGTTAAACACGTAAATCTAGATCACGGAAAACGACCCAGGAAACATTACACAGCATAGAGCTTGACTTAGTCATAAATGGAAATATGTTCATAATACATGTTTCGTAAAAAAAACACTTTGTTACTTACACTCGACCTTCTTCTCTCAGTTGCATTCTTAACACAATAACTTAAAATGTCAGATTATTCACACAATTTTCATGATAAGTCGAATTCAATATGCATCGGGCTCATCGAACTTCCTAGTTATTTAATTTATAATAAATTTAGCCTTAGTTTTTTACGTAGTGTTTTCCCAGGCGCTTGAACTCTGTACGGTCATAGGAAACGACTTGGAAAGCTGTCTCGGACGTTCTTGTAAGGTTAGAGTTACTCTTTGCTAATTATTTCCTTACTTATTGTTTAGTGTTTGGATACAATTCGTTAATTTATCTTATAATTGATTTAAAAATATGTTGATTATTAAATTCTATTTGTACTACTACTATTGTTCCTTCATTATTTTAAGTTTTAATTTTTGATCCAATATGATGCTTGCGTAGTCGATTTCTCTCTTGCCGAACTTTCAACACTTCTTCACTATTAAATCTAAAAGTTTCAATTTCTTTTCTTGCATGCTGTTAGAAATCAACGAATAAACATAAATCTAAAGTAAATTATATTATTTAAACAGACTAACAGCATATCTGTTAACATTTAGCTAACGTCTAAACAGCATAAGTTGCAGTTCCTATGCGCACGAAGAACATTCAATTCAGGATGTCATACAATTTGCATACGAAAAAGTTGAATGTATTCCGGGAACACATTGAGCTGGTACGCGTAATATCGTCAAAGGAATACTGAGTATTAAAATAACAGGTCCTGTGAAGCCGTGGGTTTTCACTGTGGAAACATCGGCACTGATACAAGTTGATATGTCTGTTTTCTTAAAAAGAATAAAAGGGACAACAATAAATAACATCTTATTTCATAGTACAAACCAACAGGAATATACAGAAGCTGTTTTACTGTCAAAGTATGTCTTTTTTTGTTGTTATGTTTGTTACTATCCATCTTTTAATCGGTTTAACGTATCTAGAAGAATTTTAGCACAGATGGAGAACATAGTCTTTAAGAACACATATGCTATTAAATTTTTAACGCAGACGAAGTTGTATGCCAAAGTTAGTTAAATACATGAGCTAAGTCCTTTAAAAATTATGATTCAAAACGATGTACGAACGAACAAATAAGTAATGGAATGGAACTAAGTAACCTGATTGTAACGAAAATATTGAGTGCGGGGTAACAGCAGAGCATTAGTAATGGAATATTAAAATGCAAGAGTGCGTGACGGTACCGTTGTACTTAGAACAATGAGCTTCTGATGGTCCCGGGGGAACTCGGACCGAATTTTAATTTGACGACAAGCAAATTAGAACCACATACTGCCGAAATGTCTGTTTGATTTGGTTACTTGCCAATGGCAAGGCGAAAAATATAGATTATGATAGTGATAGCTCATTGGTTTATAGTTGGTCAAATTTTTAAATGTAAAAATCAGTTTCCGTTGTTAATAAGTACGTGTATAACGACATTTTATCTTAGCTGTTTTTAATAGAATAGGATGTATGTTTGAATTTTTTTTTGTATTACATAACACACACAAAATGCAGTACTATACAAATACTTACTACTTAATTTTTTAATGTACTGTATTTAAAATAATTATATCCAAAAAGCCTAAGGCTAGAAAGTGATTAATATATCTGTACTAGATATGTCTTCAAGTCTCCGAAAATGTAAAACATTCAAAAGTGCTATTGAACCCGGGTAAGTGACGTTCACACATACAAATTGTTCTGTTGCGTGATTATGTTGGTAACGACGAAATCGCCTATGGTCACGTAATGAGATTTCGATCGCAGCAGCTGTCGAACAACTTTTAATGTTCCTATCACATTGAATTTATAATGGAACGTTATTCTTTGATCAAATTCGAAGAACATTAGGATAGTGACCTTTATGTTTGGGATTTTTTATCTATGATGAACCAGAATTCATAGAGAATGCATAGAGAACTTATCAGACTCGCAAATCCATTTTTGTACATTATACCTAAATTGTTATTTTCCTCACTCCTCTTAGAGTGAGATAAGTACTAGTGGATAAATTATGACTATCCTATCGTGTCGTGTCTGCAAAATACTCTAATGTTAAAATATTAAACTAAAAAAGCGTCTATAATATTTTTAATTTTCTATTGGTATGTATGAACGTTAACAAAGAACGGAAAGCAGTATTAAATCAAAGTGTTAGATTCTATTTCCAACGAATCACAAACGCTTAGTGACATTCCGCACGTATTGACAATTTGTGCTACTGAATATTTAATCCGTACATCCACTTCTTTAAACAAATTAAAAACTTTTAACAACGGCTGTAAATAAATGTAATATTTTAAGTCATTTCAGTCGTAGAAAGTTGTTATTTAAGCATCATAAAGACCAATGTAAGTATGCAATCACATTAGAAAAAAGTCCGTAGGTTTAATCGATGTAAAGTTAAGAATGTTGTGCTCCAAATAAACTAGGAAATAGACCAATTTTCTAACCTCATTAATAGATCTATTACAAATGGTTTACTTACCTAATACGAGACCAAGTGGCTAGGTTTGTACATGTAAATAATTCATACCATAGTCAACATCTACATTTGAACGACAATTCTTGGTAGAAAAAACTCATTGGTCATTGATGCAGGGTCCCTTTGCACCGGAAGTTCATGATGCAATATTCAAGCCGGTTGTCGCTAGTTCCGGTCGGCATTGGCCATCTGGCTCGCTGCAGCGAGGACGACGGGACGGCTTGTCACTTTCGACATTCACCGTCAATTAGACCTTAATCAGGAAGAAGTACTTAAAGTACTAACACGTGTAATTATTTAAAATGATCATGAAACTTTAATTATTAATTCAATGTTACAATGTCAATGACAAAAATTGTTTTAAAATTGAATCCCTTTTCAATTTCTGTTAATTGTTTTCGGAACTATAGTCATCAGCTCTTGCATGGCTCCACTAAATGGCTCCAGCCTACACTTGTTAGGGTACTAGGTCTTGTTCAACTAAAACATATTTTTTTTAATTACTTACTTTAAACAATAACAAAAGTAATAGCACAAACATACGTGTTTATTTATTGTGTAGTACCTTTAAGCGCCTGGTTTAATATATCAGCTAATAATTTTTTAAGTTTATTGCTGCTATTGAAGTTATGTTTTGGCGTCACGGATAAATATTTGTTGGAGTTCATGTGTGAAATTTTGCTTGTAGAGTATCCTAGACAAGAATATGTTGATCGGTTTATTATATAAAAACACCAAAGGACAGGGTTTGTCTGTGAAATACCATGACTTCCAAGAAGACAGACGGGAAATAATTGTGAGATATTGATAATTCCAAGACTTTTTAAAAACAATTAAAAAACGAACACAAGTGATTAAAATATTTATTTAAAAAGTAAACCAAAAACATTTTCATTTATTAAATTCAAAATATCTATAAATACACAGCAGATATTTAAAAAATATACAGGTACGATTTTATTACACAACTCATAGATGTCAAAATTGTTAACCTTATTGTTTATACGAGTATAACCATTGGAAACAACAAGCCATCAACCTTTTTAGTGGAGAATGATGACAAAATACTGGAAGTGGAAACTCAATTTGAAAACATGTCATTTATTAGGATTGCGCGAATACACACGCTCCAATATAAATCTAACTGCACCTGATATTGCTGCGCCAGTGAGTGCGGTCAGACCACGGTGACAGTATCCACCCAGCATATGTGCTGAGTTCTCTAAAATGACCCACTTAGTGTCGTTTGTCTCCGATGAATGTTTAGGCGGCGGTGACCGCGCGGGCAACTTGTATGAGAAACAACCAAGTGGTGTCTGGTGCTTGAGCGCTTTCGACACCCACGAACGACGTATAGTGTCCGGGTAACCGGCCAGGGAACAGTAAGTCACTGTAATGAGTGATTAAATTGCAATTAAATGTTTACTTATTTTAAAATTCCAGTAAGAAAATATGAGAATCTTTATCTCACTACGGTTATTCCGTTCTTGTTCATTTTAACGATTTTTTTAATAGTAACCGTATTATAAGAACGATTCTTCTGCCTCAGAATTAGAAATAAGCGCCTGGCCTTATGTGTATAAATTATGAAAAAAAAAACTTTGCTGGTTTTAAATTAACTTTTCTATGACAAAAGATCGTAAAATGGATGAATATAAGAACTCAAGTATAGTACTAAAAAAGTAGTCCTTACCAAGGTAAGTACTTTTTTCTCTTTCGTTTCATTATAAGTTAAAAATAATATGAAAAGAAAAACAATGCAATGCATTACATTTTATTATAATAGTTAAATACAAATAATGCATAAATTAAATAACACTCTCATAACGCGCATTCACAATGATCGTATATTTCTCAAACAAAACAACTAAGAAACAAGTAAACGTATTAACAAAAAAATCAAATAACAACATAATTTTCAAGCATTTTCTTTTCACAAGAAAACAACAAATCCGTATTATCAAAATGTTCACATTTCCTTTCAATCGTATTTTTATTTATTGGAATATTTCTGCTCCAAAATATATCTGACTGCTGCAGATATTGCTCCCGAGGCAACAGCAGTGAGATGTCGATCGCAGGCTCCGCCCACCATGTTCACTGTGGGTGCCGAAATTGCCCATTTATCAGTACCTTTGTAGGAATATTTACTTGACGTCTGCGCTGGCAATTTGAGTGTAAAACAACCCAATGATGTCTGATGTTTGAGCGCTTTTGCTATCCATGTACGACGTAGAGTATCGGGATAACCAGAGAGTGAACACAGGGTCACTGGAACAACGAGCGTTGATTTGTTATTTCTTAGCACTATAAAAACTTTTTAAATCAATAAAAAAAAGCAGAATAGCTAAGCAAGGAGTGCAATGTGTATACAAACTTTACAAGTGCTAATATAAATACATTGTGCAAAAATATAGACACAAAATGAATGAATGAATGTTAACTTACTGAATGAATGACCACCTCGTCATATTCAGGCAGTGTGAGTCAAACAGGCAGCTTGTTCCGATACTTTTGAACTACTAAGCACTACGATTAATTGAGATTTAATCGAAATATTAAATTCAAATGTAATGTGATAATTTGTGAAAATAACAGTCATTTGTTTTTAAATGGTATTAAATGGTTACCATACCGAAATACGTTCAACGTGATCTTTTCTAACAAAACTAACATTGACCACTACGCCAATACTAAAAATATGGCGACACGAATTATCCAATAAGCGCAATTCAATATCTAGAAACTAGGTACAGAAAATTAAAGTAAAACTCACTTTGCTCCAACAACAAGTCTAATATTTTGAAGTTGTTCGCTGCTATGTAATTCGCTTCACGAAATATTTTTGTGCAGAACATATCGATTAGTTCCTTGTCTTCTCTTGTAGAGAATATTCTGCAACCTCGTCCGCGATGAGCTTGTATCAGCCAAAGCAACCTGGAATACATCAATTATCTAAAATCAACAAATCTTTATTTAAAGTCTACTTCGCAGCCACTTTATGGAATACTAGTTGTTCCGGTGCGGCTTCATTCGCATGATATTTTGTAAGTTCTATTTTATTGTTCACATTTGTCAAATTGTCAATAGCAAATGTCAAAATGACATGACATGACAAACCTTGCCAATCTTACTTTCTTGATGTTGGCAGCAACTTTTGGTCTCTTTCCCACATTAGGGTTTTTATCCTAAATATTTACTCCCTAAGTTTAATGGCGTGAAAATATATAGCCTAAAGCGTGGCGTAAGTGTAGGGCTTTTATTTAAAAAAAAAAGAATTATTCAGAAATATGCTGTAGTTGCTGACATCTTAGGCAACAAAGAAGTGTGTGTTTACGCTTTATTATAATAGTATAGTATATAGTATAGATAGATATTCTGTACTTAAAACACAAACTACGTGTTAGCACTCACCTGTGAGTAAGAGAATATCCAAAGTTTGTTCCGTTGACCAACATGTTGTAACACATTGGTAGAAATCTACACACCCGTTTGTTTAGCCTATTCTTCGCAAGCGAAGCGATGCATATATCTGCAATAGTCAAAAAATATCTCCCCTAAACACAGTAAGAGCATGAGACAACATTCAAATAACACTTAAATTCTACAAGAAGTAGTTCAAGGTCACGCAAAGGGTAAAGAGAAGGCAACAATTGAAATCTATCTGAAAGATTCTGAAAGTCGCTTTACGCCTAGAACAACATTATCTAAGTTTCAGTACAGCGAAAAGCCTGTAGAACTGGGCCTAATAAATGATAACGAGGTTTACTTTGCAACCCATTCTTATTCGAATACGCCATTCAAACTGAAAATAAATGCGGTTGCCAATCATAGGTCGGAGTAGCATACCTAACTTCAAGCAAAAATTGTTGATCGAAGGTTCCTAAGTAAGTAAACATTCATCGAAATGTATCGATTGCCGATTGATTCTTATAGCTTTCATCTAGTAAAGTATACACAGCAGTGTAGCAGTGACCCCTTGTTAGCTAAGAGAACAATGTAGTTAATATCCAAATAATCCTCATTTTTACATTCCACAGAAATATACTCTAAATAATAAGAATTATGAATGTATTGTTTTATTGAAAGGACGCGATATAAATGCTCATTCCACACAGACCGTAAAAATTCCTAGTTTTTGTTCATCGCTGTAACAATACTATTCAAGATGGTGTTTTTTCTTAAAGAGAACAGAATCTTAAATATTCAATTCAATAGTAAAATAATTGTACAGAACGTCATTTAATTATAATAATGAACAATGCTTTGTTAGTTTATAATATAAACTTATCGACAATCCTACATGGATTGTGTTGAAAATTATGGAAACCCCCATATTTTTTTCTTAAATATGATTAATTGTCGTCAGAGGAATTTTACTCCCAAAATCTGAATTATTGTTAAGCCATTGGCTCTAATGTCATACTAATACTATTAATGCTAAAATTTGGGTACATTGATTGTTATGGATGTATCTCGATGTAATTTAGCACAGCTGTAGAACATACTCTGCACGAACACGTAGGTTTTTTATTAAGGTATTTTATTATTCTGCGTGTAGTCGCGTCCAAAAGCTAGTTATTGACAAACCAAGTGTTTATTTTAGACATCGACGACGAAGTATATGTGGGAGTAGACCTAAGAACATCTTGGCTCAAAAACCTTTGCCAATGGTTTGGAAAGAGCAGCTATTCGCTTTTTAAAGCCGCGGTGTCAAGTTGCCCTAATGATATTAATGGCACTTTAAGAAAAGTAGACCTAAGAAGAAATAAATGGATTTCATGGACATGATTAACATGAAAGTGCCGTCTGAATGACCAATCTATTTGGAGAACTAAACTCTGTGACTCAATGAGTGATATTAGAAAAATGAGATTCTAAAATGAGCTTTGATTTGATGCTACTGTATCCAAGTGTATATTAAAAAAACGAAGACTTACCCGCTTCTCTAGGATCCGGTTTCCATCTACTTAATTGACTCACTTTCGATTCGTAATTATCCCATTTTGGATATGAACTCCTCATCAAAAAGATAGGTGATTTTTTTCTATTTTTAAAATCGACGATACCTTTGATACCAAGTGTTCGATTTACAAATAACGTTGTTACTAGAACAAAACAGATACTCAGTTACTCAGTTAGCGAGTTTTTAATCTATAGGATATCTATAAGATTTGACAAAAAATAATCCTTTCCCGGAACCTTTCTTATGCTCAATCTCTGCATTCCTTGTGTAATAATTTCCCGCCACCGTCACATCCTCTTTGTTGCAACTGCTGGCCAAAAACATAAAGGCATTTTGACAAAAATATGACAGATTAAAACATACCTCTTCTATTCAAAACGTTCTTTTGGTCCTTATTCTGTTTAACCATCAGTTCGAAATATTGCAATAACTCGCCATTGTAACGAAGAAAACTTTTTATGTACATTTTCAAATCCCTTTGCAAGTCGTCCTCACGCGTTAACAGAACGTGTTGGAGATTATCTGTAAGTAATAAGGGGCCTTGATGACTTTTTTTAGAAATCGTTTTCTGTTCTCCTTCTTCATTGTCTTTTGCTACCATTTGACACTACTGAGAAAGTAGTTAAATGTAATTAAGGGTTAAGGTTCTGCTGAAGGAACCCTTAAATAGCTCAGAGTTCGGTTTTTAGTCTTTAATCTTGTTATTTATCATATTATGTTATTGTGCGTCCACTTCAATACTTTCTTTCTGTCATTTAAATCTGATGTCAGCACTAAAGCATTTTTCTGATCATTTATTTCTAATTATTAGCATATTTTTAACAACAAAAGTACGTAGCTGTTAAGGATAATTCTTATAGAGTCATACAACATATTTGTAATTGTTTTTTGTGTAAATTTCATGTTATGAAATTTAGGGATATTGTTATTGTTTTCTTTGGATAATGTAATAGTTTTTTACGAAAATATGAATAAATACAGGTTTATATCTTACCGTATACAATTGACAAACCGTAGGCGAAATTCATATCTATTTCATGTTTATGTCGATGTGAAAAATCCAATATTTTCTTTAAAGACTGCAAGTATAACAAAAGATCAACAATTTTCGGAAAATCGTCCAAATAATCGAATTCCGAAGGTACATCACTATCAGTATCAACACTCGGAAAACTTTCACTGCTATTTTCATCGACTATTATTAAAATTGTAATAATATAAATAACAATACGAATAAAAGATCGTGAGAACATTTTACTAATAGGTAAAAAGGATAACCTAACGACTTTCCCACAATACTAGTGTACATCTGCTCTATTTAAATTAAACTGAAGATTTTCCGAAGGCAACCGGCCTTTTATAAAGTGTCGGTCTATGATGTAACAATGCGCGTAACCGATGCTTATAAAAAGTAACATCAAAACAATAATGATAAACAATTGTTACAAATAATTCTTGTTATTTAACTTCTTACTCCATAATGCGATATTAGAATTACTTCTACGATCTCAAGTATATTTATGTTTCCGATTATTTGTTATAAAATACGCACATCCTTATTGGTATATGCAGAATAGACAATACATAACTTCTAAGTTCATTACCAAATACTTCTTGAACAAGTCTTGTATTTCCTAAAGTTTAGAGTTCGATCTTTGGTAGATACCAAATTTATTAGATCGGAATTTTAAGTGTGCAACTTTAAACAAAAATAGCAATAACTGGTTTTGGACTACAATTTGTAATTGTCTTAGAATAGAGCAAGGGTTCTAAGTATCTAGTAACGAATTTAAACCAGAAAAGTCAAACAGTTTAGAACCTTTTATTGTGATCTGGGTCATATGAGACAGTTTAACTCGTTCTGAAAAATCATTCAGCTCTTTTTTATCCTGGATCACCGAATAGATAAAAGAAATAGTTAATGTACATGTTACGGCAATTATCGTAGCATATGTCTTAGCATGTATCGTAGCACTAAGTACCTCTGTTTTCCTAGAAGCGTTATATTTTTCGTCCAATTGCCGACCGAGCTAACATCAGTCGTACTGGTTTTAGAAAGCTTATTGTCATTTTTAGTTTAAATCATCTTTGTTAAATAAACAAAACAAATCAAGCTTTTATTGTAATTTCAGTTTTAACTCATTACATTTTTACTCTTGAGTAATACTTAAAGGCCCGTCCCGCCTAATTATAAATTATCTGATAACAATCCAACGTGTAAAATATGTGATGAAAATATCAGATTCTGTTACCTTATCTGACAGTTACGTCATTTTAAGCTATCTGTACCTTTATCAGCCAGTGGTGGGACAGGCCTTCAATAGTCTAGCTTCTACACTGAGGTCTCACATTCGTAAAATAAAAATTATAATTCATTTTTTTCCATTGTCCTGTTCTTACACCTGGGCAAAGAAAGTAATAAAATGGATCTCCAGTACAACTTTTTTTAAATGTAGGTTACTAGATATTTAATAAGTAAAGTTTTTCAATTCCTTTTGTATTATAACAGTTTGTTTTACAGAGATAATTCAAGTGACCACTAAGCCTGGATAAGCTTCCCGCAATCAAGTGAAATGAGTGTAAATGGCGCGCCATCTCACCGCCTGCGGCGATACTCATTCTTTCAGCTGTCTTACTTTGATCTGGCATTATTCGTTTCAATTTTATATTTTTATTCTATACACGTACCTAACTTAATGAAGCGACGAAGTTATATTTAGAATGCTTTTCAAAAGAGACAGAAACTAGCTGCAGTAACTAGGATTTTTAATTCCAAGCTTTAAAGAACTCTGGGTTACTTTTCAAACTTCTTATCCATTTTTTTTAAAAGCACCACTAATACCAGGAGGCAGAAGATATTTAGTAATTACCTATCTCTGAAGGAAGGGTTCTGTAACTGTGTGGATTTGACGAGGTTACGGATCTACGTCTTTTTGACCGGCTTCCCAAAAGAAGGAGGTACCCAATTCTTCTGTGTTTTTTTAACAGTTTTATCGATGCTTGCACGTGGATGTATGATTACAATTTTTTATTAGATACATTTCCTTGTTTCCATTTCAATTAAATTCCACACGTTGTTTACACAAAAACACATAGAATTATAAATCTTGTTATTATTATTGCAAAGGTTGAATGGTAATTGTGGCAGTGTTTGATAAATTTTCTACGATATCAACATACTTATCCAATTTTTTTCTTTAATTTATACCTTCAGTGAGTTTTTCTTTACCCTCTATTTTTATTTGTTAAACATATGTGATTTTTAAAAATGATAAAAACAACGACCATCGTCGTTTTTTTCTCCCAATCTAGGCAAATTCATTTTTTATCGCGTCCCGTACCTATACAACTATGCCGAAATGTTTGTTTAAAGTTCAAGCCAAATATGTACCTGAGAACTTATTTTTTTGAATGAGACTCCTTTTATGTACCCATAGAAACACGAATTAAATAACGTAAACGTTTTGCATTAAACTTAAGTTTATCTTTTGATTTCCAAATTTTCTTCATTTCAATAGAATAACTTCACCTCTTGTCCTGCAACCTCCCGGTAATCTATATCTATACTAATCTATATTTCTATACTAATATTATAAATGTGAAAGTTTAGATGGATGGATAGATGGATGGATGGATGTTTGTTAGAGTTTGTAGCCTAAACGGCTGAACAGATTTCGATGAAGTTTGGTATAGATGTAGAAAATAGTCTGGGAAAACACATAGGCTATTCACTTTTGATTTTTTCTAATACAACGCGGACGGAGTCGCGAGCGAAAGCCAGTATACAATACAGCAATACATCTTTTTAGATTGATGAGATGATAAGAGGGTACGGGCAATTAATGGCAACTCCAAAGCAACACTTTAAACGTCATTGTCTGTGTCATTCAACGTCTATGGTCAATTTCCATTTTGAAGTATCATTCCAATATCAGTATTTTATTACTGTCGCTTAATTTCTAGTTATTTTAAAATGGGTCTGGCTACAGTTATTGAAAATGAGGCTCATTTTCAAACAGAAATAGGTAGCGCCGGTACAAAGCTGGTCGTCGTAGACTTTACGGCTACTTGGTGAGTGCAAACCGGGGAAACATTTTTTTCCTAGTCATTGTGTAGATTGATGTGATATATTTACTTATCGTTTGTTGCATTTTAGGTGTCCACCATGCCAACGTATTGCCCCATTTTTTGAACAGTTGCCTGCTAAGTTCCCGAGGGCAGTTTTTCTAAAAGTAGACGTTGATCGATGTGCGGAAACTGCAAGTGCGCAAGGCATTAGCGCAATGCCTACGTTCGTATTTTTTAAGAATAGGGTAACTATTTCATCCCTAAGAATTTTGTAATTAATGTTAGTATCTCGGATTATATAGAAGTAATTATTTTTACAGACAAGAATTGATAGACTACAGGGCCCTGACCCCGGCTCTCTGGAGGCAAAGGTTAGACAGTACTATGGTACTGATGAAGCTGCAGATGAGGATAGTGCCGTAGCAGGACATGTAAGAATATATTATTCTAATTTTTTACCATCTTTCTAAGAAAATATATAAATCATCTCAACTGCAGTAATATCTACATAATATTGTTACTTATTAATTTACACTAATATTAAGAAGGGGAAAGATTTGCATTTTTGTACGTAGTTAAATAGCTCAAAAACTTCTGGACCTATTTAAAAAATTCTTTTACATTAGAAAGCTAAGTTATTCTGGTAAAATAGGCTGTTTTTTAAATTTCACATGGACGAAGTCACAATAGGCAATATTGTGCTATGTATGTGAATATGAATATGTATACGAATTTTTTGTACAGATGGACCTGGTGACATTTATTACTAAGAGTGAATGTGAATGCTTAAATGAGTCTGATGACCATCCCCTGGCGCATGCTCTGAACAATGGCAGCGGATATCTGGCCAGTGACTGCGATGAACAACTCATCATCAATATTACATTCAATCAAGTGAGATTTTATAGTCTTTTAACTTACACATTTAGACTGTTGATCTTGTGAAAACAACACAGTAATAGATGTGTGTGGGAACATATCTACCACAGAAATTTCAATTTAATCATGTACTGCTTGCTTTTAGGTGGTAAAACTACACTCGCTGAAAATCAAAGCACCTGCTGATAAAGGTCCAAAGACTTTGAAGTTGTTCATCAATCAGCCAAGAACTCTTGATTTTGACCAGGCAGCGGGGAATACATCTGTGCAAGAATTAGAGTAAGATATTTGTTTTATCAATAATTTTACTAATTAATATTTAGATAGATGAATGTTTGTTAGAGGACTTCTCCTAAATGGCTGAATTAATCAGATCTCTATAGTCTGGAAGACATGTTGGGTATTTATTGTGGTTTTTTAAATACTGCATGGACAAAATCAGGGAAAAACAACTATTACTTTGTTTTTTCCATATAAATAACCAGTGTTTTAATTATATTGTTCTAGGTTGACACCAAGTGACTTAGAGGGTGGTAATCCCGTGCCACTAAAGTTCGTTAAATTCCAGAATGTTCAAAACATTCAGATATTCATAAAAGACAACCAATCCGGCGGCGAGGTCACACTGGTTAACCACCTTGCATTTTATGGCTCTCCTATTTGCACTACAAACATGGGAGAATTCAAGCGTGTAGCCGGCAAGAAGGGTGAAAGCCATTAAACTTCAGTATAGTTCTACAGTTTAGTACAGATAGTTCAGTTTAATAAACTAATCCAAATTTGCATAAATAGATAAATCAAGGCAAAAGATTCTCTAAGCTTTCTTATAATAAAAGAGATAAACCCATACTTAAGCTATCTTCAGTCTTTTACACTAGACATCTTCAGATTTACTGATTTTGCCAAATAAGTATGAGCTTAATGTGAACCTTTAAGAATAACTAATATAGAGGTTTTGCATGAAACAAGTTTAAGCCATAAAATAAATTGATAATTTGTGAATGTAATAATGCAAATGAATAAGGCATTGCGAATCTTAATAATGGTTGTCCATTTATTTAAAATACATTAAAAATATCTGAACTATGTGATACAACGCATTTATGCTTATGTGACACATGCTTTTTAGTTTATAACCTTAAACATTAGCTTACGAAAATATAAACTTATGAAATGTTTTAAGCTGTACTATTTGTATTACAAAATTCATTTGTATGTACTGATCATTTACATAATATGTCAAATGACCATTTTAATTATATACATTTCATTTATTTATGATACTGTAATAAATATCGTAATATTGAATAAGTATAAACATCTTAAAGCAAGTTGTCATAGCATCGGAATTTGTATATTCAAGAAATAAATGATTATAATTAATTATTTTTTTTTATTAATTCAGTCCTGCTTTAATTCATATATTTGAATGTATGCTTCTGTTAATGTTATCATCTGTGGCAATATGCTTGTTACATGCAGATCTTGCATTTCATACCTAGAACGAAAAACGATGTTAGTGTTTTCAACTAAAAAATTATTTTAACACATAAGAGAAAGCTTTGTACCACATTTCAAGTAAATTGAATTAATCAAAGTGGAAATTAAGCTGAAAAATTACTTAATCCTTTAATTGGTATTGGCCGCTATAACAGATGCAAACTTTAAAATATTTTTGTTATTCTATTATCATTATAAATATTGTGAGTATTGAAAAAAAAAATACCATTGCTGTGTCGGCGTGTGCAAAACATGGGCGCGGTATGTACCCTTCTCTGGAGATCCATCATGGACAATATTCCCTACCAGTTCATACATTGTTTTCCCATTATGCTTTGCTTTAATTTCCGGTGTTAAGATATCTCCAAAATCTACATTTCTGTAAATATTTTAAACATATTAGTAAACTTGTTAAGAGGACGAAAGGTATTTTTTTTCTTATAAAAATGCTTTCACTCACTTTACTGGAAAATTAACTACAGTCGGATTTTTCTCGACAAAGAATGTGTTTTTCGTGAATCTTTTTATGTACAATATGAGGTAAGGCGGCAATTGTGTAATTTCAAATCGCTTTAAGAAATTCTCTTTATATGTTTTGTATTCCTTTGATGTTTGACCACTGAACTTTGACAGCAGTTGGTATAAATTTACCTGTAATAAAAAAATAATTGAATACTAAAATCTTATAGACATGCAAATTTTTGAACTTGTTTATTTTATACTAGCTTTAGCCCGCGACTCCGTCCGCATGGAATTAAAAAAAAATGTAAAATAAAGCCATGTTACTTACAGATAAATTACCTTTTAAACAGTGAAAGAATGTTTAAAACAAACAAACTTTTTCTCTTTATAATATTAGTATAGATATATTTTAATGAACACTTGCCTGAGGGATGATGTTTTCTCGAAACTCATCAGTAAACAGCGGTGTAGGAGGTAAGTCACAAGTCAAGTACAAGAATGGTGATTCAGTTATCATCTCAGCATACTCTTCACTGGTGAGATCTACTTTTGCCGCATCATCGGCATCTGGAGGTGGCAGCTTCCTAAACAAATATTAAATTATATACCAAGAGTATAATTATACTAAAATTTCGAATTTACGGCTAACTATAGTTTACATAAATCTTTGTACTTAATTTTTAAGAAAAGTATGACTTACCTTGTATATATTCTCATGTGGCCGAGGAAAGATTTATATATTATTGAACTGTTAGGTTTTTTCGTACCATTAAGAGCTAAATGAAGTGAATTAAGGAACCATGACATAAAATCGATTGGATCACCTAAAAAATAAATTTAAAAAATAGTGAAATCTTATTGTTAGCTTATGTAAAAATTTGCTTGATTCTTACTTTGTTTTATAAATTGAAATCTTTTCTTAGACCAAAGTACAACTGCTTGTAGCATTTCATGTGGCGATACATGCGCTTTGAAAGCTCGAGGGTTCCACAGCTTCCTTAACAGCTCTCCGAAACGTTGCACCAATAAGAATGAAGAATCACCCGGTGGCCTTTTTACATTTGCATAATTTTCTTCACGCAAGAAATAATTACGAAGCGGTCGTACTTGAGAAAGACACTACAAAGTACAATTATATTAAAAAAAATAGGAAAAAAAACAATACAAGATAATGATTATTATTTTCTGACCACTGGGCAACCTTTTAACTGTATGCCAGCAATATCTGTGCACAAATTGGCCAGCTTAACTGATTAAATAACACCAAAATACAGAAAAAAGGCTTGTTTGCCAGATTTTTATATAAAATGTCTGTTAAAGTGTTTCCTGTTGCGCATTGGCCCATTGCATTGGCTGATTGCAGCCCATAGATTGGATCATACCAATGACATTTTTTTCCCATTGGGCTGGTAAAATCCATACAATGTTTTAATAAACATACCTGTAATATAACATTGCAATAATCATTAGCTTTGATGTTATTAAGGCCCACAATGCCTGGCATATACATAGTGCCATCAATGGCTCTTGACATCTTAGTGTTGCAGTCCAGTTGTTTAATTTGTTCAGGAGTAAAAATAGGGTTGAGCACATATTTAATGTCATTTAATGATGAATCTGAAAAGTTTATTACAAAATGTGTAATTTATTATGTTTTAATATTCAAAATCAATATTCAATTCAATATATAATAATTATGTTATGTTCTGCAGCAGGTGGTGCTCTATTTTTTACATAATATAATTTATATTTATTTTTATATAAATCATGTAAAATATATTATGTAGTAAATAAGCAAATAAAGATATATGGAGATGTTACCAAGAACATTCAGGTTCTAATTTTACATTTTTGTATTACTTAAATGTAGATATTGAATTGCTTTTTAAATTATTTTTACAATTCATTCATAATAAAGGTTACCTATAACTTCATAGTTATCTGGCAGACAGTAGAACTTCAAGGTGTGAAGATTAAGGAAAACATGATGGCCATCAGCTACTGAGTGGGTGTAGGCGTGAGTATTGGTTCCTCTACCCTAAAAATGTAGAAATATTGGCAAGAATTATCTTGTTAAAAATTGTATTAACAATTTTTGTACACACACAAAACATAGCACAACCTCAGCTTAGAATCAAGGATAAGAAAACAAAAGCTTTAGACCATTCATTTCTTATGTAAATCATTTACAGTACCTGAAAATACTTTCCACAAACAAGACAAGCGTAAACATTAATTCTTGTCAGTGATACAGAACACAGTTTTTCAAAATCAAAGTCTAATACATGTCTGTTAATTGTATCCAAATAAGGACATTGAATATGTACAGTCTTCTTCGCGATTTCTGTAAATAAATACAAATTATTATAAACATCTTACAAAAATGTTTTTGTTAGAGGTTATAAACTCTGAACCTGAAATTTCGTCGCCATTCGCATTTGAGTACTTTCGCTTCTTATTATTGGTTTGCTCAGACATAATGTAATTTATTTATTTATACAATAACTTCAATATTTGTATAAGTTTTAAGCAATATTTATTACATTGATCAAAATCAAACCAACGTCAGTTCAATTTCAATCAAAGACTAACTAATGCCCGGTCCACACCACACTTAGCCAGTACAGTTGGACAGTTGCGACGGCAAGCGACTCAAGGGCGCCTAAAAGCGTTCACACTCTGACACTCATGTAATTCACGGTTCTTTCAGTTTGCTATTGACCAACTGTACTGGTCAAGTGTAAACCGCGCATTAAAAACAAACAATCTTTTTTACCAAAGATTAGTCACTGTTAAGTTAAATGGTGTACATATAAATGTAGTAACACTTCCGTAGCAAACAAATTGAATTAAATTTGCATTTTATTCTGAATTACCATTTACAGTTCTTCCTATATTTTAATATCATTTTTTTGTAGTCTGACAAATCTTTCCTTTCAAAGGGTTAGTTCTAAGATTAATATGGCAATAGTTCTAGTAACCTCTCATTGCTCTCAAAAAGAAAAATAAATTTTTGACAGTGACAATTCAAAATTGGTCATTTTCGATTCGAAAATGGCTGCATCAGGGGGTAATATTGAGTGGTCTACTACTGTTAAACCAATTTTAACGGCGCTTTATGGCCCATTTTTCGACAAAAATGATGCAGTTGAAATTATCCAAGCTATAATAAAAAGGTATGATACATGGGAAATGTGTATTTTTCGTAATTTATGAATGTTATGATGGCTGCTATTTTCATTATTCATCAGACTTTCTTTATTTATTTATTTGTTGTAAAGTCGTGATTTCTGCAAAAAAAACGTAAATGTTTTTCGCTATGAAGTCATCGGCAATATTAATCTATCCTTAATTTGACTATGCATTTTTACCTTAAGTTTAATACCAAGGTATTACTAGGTACGGTATTGTGCTATTGTCTTGATCACGTCAATTGTTGGTAATTAAATTATTTTCTAGAGATTTAAAATTCTTCTGTAAATAGAAGAGATTATCTGAAAGAAATATCACTAATATTTGAAAATTAGGAAATGGGGTCATTTGCTATTTGGCTATTAACACAAATAAAACTACAGAATTAAATATGTATCAAATATAATTTAAGAAATGAATTAAAACGATGTAAAAAAGGTGACAAAATAATATGGGCAAAGTTTATGTAATCTAACTTTGTAATACCCACATTTACTTTTAAAAATAAACAATATTAGTAGAGTTATTTTTTTTTAATAAAAATTTGCCATTGTGATATTAAAAATTCATTTAATTTCTGGTTTAATAATTTTCACTTAAAAACAATAATTTAACACGGACAATTTTTTTCAATATTTTATTCTTATAAGAAAGTTTTAAAAAATCTTTTAATTTTGTTACAGTGAAAGTGAGTTCCAGAACCATGAAGATGTTTACGACCTATTCTACACATGCTTTGCGTGCCTTTCTGCACACTTCATCAGCATTAATGCAAACAATTGTAAGCATCTACCAATGTTTTATAACAATTTTACCATTTTTGTCACTTTGTATAGGGTGACTACAAAGTTGTGAAATATTATGCAATTTTTGTTCTGCAAACATGTTTTTTTTTGTTAATATTTATCGATACTCTCAGATTAATTAAATAATATATTACAAATTAAATTATAATCTTCACAGTACCTATTGACCAGCTGAGCACCGCGCGGGATGCATTCAGAATCATATTGGGACAAATACTTAAGAAGCTCTCTGAAGCCGGACTGAGCTATGATGAGACTGCCGCAACAACGGCTGCTCCGAATGTCTCTATCAAGCAGGTAAAGACCTACCAAACACTTCAGTTGATGGACTACCTAATTTAAGATTAATTTCTAAGAAGTTTTTGCACATTCAACTAAGTAGCTCTCATAGTCATCACTTAACAACTTAAATTCTAGCAGTTTCTTTAATTTAATTGAAATTATACTATATATAGTATGGAAATATTTCTTTGACAGTTGGTCTTATTATGGTTGTGTTTCAGCTTCTATTACCTATTGTTGGCCTCTGTGGTGTTGACGGAGGAGGTTATCCACAATCAGATCTGGTTATATTGACATCTCTATTGAAGAATGCTAAGTTGCCAGCCCATGTCAATGTATCAGGTTTGTATCCAATGTTGTTCACATAGATTTCACTTATAGGCTGTCGCCGCAATTTTGTCCATGCGAAATAAAAAAAAAACTCATTAAGTATTTCCGGCCTACCAGACTGTTTTACACCTGTGCCAATTTCATAGAGATCCTTACAGCCATTTAGACTACAAACATCTCTATAATATTAGTATGATTTCAATCAAGAACACTGCTTTGAGGTTTCACATATATCATTTTGAACAAAATTTAACACATGACATGCTTGATTTATTTTAGAAACTCAAACAACCAAGACATCAGTGATACCAAGTCCTATAACATCTCTGACATCACAAACTGCAAGTAACAATGAGAAGCAGGCGCCATCTTCCGCCCAGCGGCGGTCTGATGCGCTGTTGGAGCAGCTGACGATGCCTCTACGAAACCCTGCGGCATCAGTACCGTCAACACAAGTACAGCCCAGTGCTGCTGTCATGTCTCCCGGAAGCAAGGACAGCTTGGAGAGCTCTAAAGAGGCTAACACTAACCAACAACCATCTGTTGATATGAAGGTATACAAAATAATTCTGTTATAAAATATTAGAACTGGAATGGTTGGAATATGTTTTTAGTTAAATTGCAAAAAGAAACGATAGAACATTTTGTGTTCTTTTTTAATAGTAAAAGTGACAAATAAACAATCCACCAGTATTCACAAAAACAGCTAAGCAACCATGCTCATTGACATTCCCTTCTGCTTTACCTTTAATCTATGGTTGAATATTTAAAAGTAATTTGTTCTCTTAATTTTATGGATTTGTATGGTATGTATAATTTATAGAAATGGGTGGCAACGACATGCGGTTCGTTACTGATGGAACTGCGAGCTGGTTTCATCATGCTCAAAGTCTGCTCTTCGCTTCCGTGCCTGCAAAGATATCTGAATCGCTGGCAGATGTCCAAGGAGTCTGCCATCTCTCCACAGTTCAACTCTGATGCTTCACTGTAAGTATTAAACGTAAAATACCATCTTACTCTTTTTTTGCAATGAATTGGACAAAAGTTAATTTTTTTTAACATCAATGTCATGAAAATATTTTTTTAGTTATAAGATGTTACTTAACATTTTAAGGATTGTTTCGGAAGGGAATACCTAAACCTCAGACCTATATTTGTAATGTGAATAAATTATACATGGTGAACACACCAGCGGGACGGGGAACGGATCGTAAAATGTAAAAGAGATGTAAAAACTACTTTAAATGCAGCTCACCTAACCTAACCTAACATGGATCATTGGCAAGCAATACCCAAATAATTATACCAAGAAATTAATATTGCATTTTGTATAGACTCCATTTCCTGGTGAACGAGGTGAATGTATGTCGGCTGGCGCTGTCGCTACCGTGCCTGGAGCCGTTCACTGCGGACCGCATCGCCACACTCAGCGACGTTGCCACCGCCTGGCTGCTGTGTGCCACCGCTCAGGTAAAGTGTCATATACTTTTTTATAATAATAATAATGTTGCATGAAAGTTGTCTGGCAAATTAATTTTTATTCGTGTAAAATTCCCAATAGTATATTTAGATTTCAGTGAATATTTTTTGCCTGACTGATACCAGTCTAGTATTCTTTTTTAATGTACAGATAAATATTAAATGTTTTTGTGTCAGGCGTCCCTTCATCCTAAGGATGAAGAGAGCGAGCAGCAAACAGCGACACTGGTGGAGAGCGCACTCAGCCTCTACAATACTGTCGGCGACACCTTCCGACAGTCCACACGTGCCGGAGGATACGTAAGTACCTCCAAAAAACAAAAATACTTCCCCTCTAGTATATATATTGTCTTCTTTTTTCTTCTTCCTTTTAAATACTTATAGGACATAAATAACAATTGATTGTGATTTGCCAGGTGTACCAAAACCATCTAATGATTGGTGCGTGGGTGTTGCTGTGCGGACTGCACCACGCGCTCGCAGGCGCCCCGTGCCCCACCACTGCGCCCGGCAAGAGCCCCGCTAAAACACCTTCCAGACCGTACAATCTCACCAAAATGTCAGTACACTTATTCACCTATAGTTGTAATGAATAACGAACTATAAACAAGTAGATTATTCTAGTAGTAGTTCATATATGATTAGCTGTCGCTGCGACTCGTTACGCGCGGAATCCTAAAACTTATTTATATGGTCGTCTAGACTACTTTAAGACAAATTTCAGTAAGATCCGATCAACCGTTTTAATGTTATGTATCAACAAATTTCCATCAACCTAAACTTTCTCATTTACAATACATATTAATAAAATTAAAAGGTAGATTTATTTGTGTCCTTTGAGAGTTGAATTGAATAACAAAAAACTCTCTGTATCAATAGTTAGTATGTCTATACTTCTACCTATAAATCTATATATGTATACTTATAGTAAGGTGTTGGTTTAGGCAACAAGGGCTGGGCGCGGTGTGGGTGGCGCTGGGCGGGCGCTGCCTGGCGTGGGCGGGCGCGCT